ACTACTACTAAATAATAATAATAATAATAATAATAATAATAATAATAATAATAATAATAATAATAATTGTACGGTCCGCAATCAATCTCAATAGGTTCTTAAACCGACTGTATTTTCAGTAATTAATTATATACCTACGTGATTGGAAAACACTGCACGCACATTTTTTATGATCACCATCAATTTCATCAAAGAAACAGTATCATAATTGGTATGTGATAAATAAATTAAAAAAACATTGAATACATCTTTTCATTTATTTTGACAGAACTTTGACAGTATCAATAAATTTGTAAATAAAACTAGTACAATGATGATGTTCAAGTTATATGAACTACAAATTATAAGCAAGAGTGTCAGCAAGTTACTATTCATTATTTAAAGAATAATGAAATTGAATCGCACAGATTGAGTTCATTGCCGTACGGTAAGAATATAATTAAAATTGTCATATATGTAGGCTGAGGACGTCCGAGGAAGATAAGAGCTTGTACCGACTCAGCGCTTCGGTCCGAAGGGTCGCGGGTTCGATTCCTGCCTTGGATATGATTGTTTGTGTCTTGTCTCTCATGTGTGTTGTTGTTTCGTAGTGTGTTGTCGAATAGGGACGTAAAGGGTAACTGGATGTCGGTTTGAAACTTATCTAGGTAAAAAAATGTGGGAATAAGGGTCAAAAATAGTTGAACTGCAAAAATTAAGTGAGACCAGTTGAGGAATCGAACCCGCGACCCTTCGGACCGAAGCGCTGAGTCGGTACAAGCTCTTATCTTTCTCGGACTTCCTCAGCCAACATATATGACAATTTTAATTATATTCTTACCGCACGGTAATACCGCACGGTTCAAAATGTTTGCTTAGAGCATTGGCAGGAGCCAGCGCATTCCTTATTGTGCCAAAACAAACTAGTGAACTACTTAAAGCACAAACGTTCCCTTGGCTTATGGTTACGTAAGTTATCAAAGAAAAAAGTTTCCTAAACAATTTTGAATAATTTTCTCTGTCAAAACAAAAGTTTAGTACAGCACACAACGCTCATCTGATCAACTATTAGGGCATTTCAATTTTATATTGAAAATAACTTCAAATCCATTAGAATTTGAGCAATTCCTAATACATTATAAATGGAATCGGAAACGGTATCGGGAATATTCAGAAACGTTCAACCTGCACATTGTTGTAATCAAACATTAACATTACATTAAATAAAGTCAAACGAAAAAACTCTGCCCTGAGGAAGCCTGCGATATGTCAGGCGAAACGTCGGCACCCCAGCCAACGACGCGGCGTCTCCCGGATAGCCAAGAATTTATGGATTCGAGCCGCGGAAGCTTACGTGTGCAAGTCAATCGAAGCCAAACAAAAATGTAGAACTTACAGAGCACTTCATATTCACACACTGACATATTTGTAACTATTGCATTTATTTTAATCATATTGAGTTTGGAAAATATTCAGTTTTTTCACAATATAGAATTGCAATATTTTTGTTGATATTCTGAAAATTTAGTAGGGTGAGTCAATATTAAGCCTGGTCGTAAATATTAAGTGTAGTAACCCTTATCTCCCTCTAGTGGCTTCCAGAAACCATTGATTAGGTGATTTTTTTCTATTTCCACTATTTATTGATCTCACGTCTGCTACGATTAGCTAACCTCACTCCTCCCCACACTAACGTAACTAGTGGCACAGAGTAGCTACAGAGTGGCACAGACTTTTCCGTATAAATTTTCTATTTCCTTTAGTCTCGGCTAGCTATTCGAACTTGCCACATACTCTTGCCTGCTGCCATCTATCGCCGCCCAAAATATTTTTTTTTTAATTTTCTTAATTTTTCGGCTTACTAATAATAGAATGGAAACATTATTTTAAGAATATTAAAAATCGGTCAAACCGCGTCTTAAATGGCTATTTTCTTCAAAAAAATTGGAGCCGTCTTTACGAAAATGGCGTTTTAGTGCTACAGTATATTCGAAATTTGAAGCACTTTTTTATGAAAAAGTTTCGGGTTTTCAAAAAACTTCATTAAAAGTCATTGAAGCACATTAACTCACAAGTACAATTGTGTTTGCAAATTGCAGGAAATATTCAAATAAACGGCGTGAGAGATATTTAAAAAGAAATACATTTGTGTAATTAAAAAAAATACCCCAAGTGAACTTTACGTCAATATTAAAGAGTGCATTTAGCACTATCCGTTCGAAAGGTTTGAGTACAAAATTTGCAGCCGTTTTTGAAAAAATGACGTTTGAGCGTTTCTGAAATTGCGAAATTTTCAGCTAGATTGACAGAAAACGGTTGAGTTTTCGAAAAGCTTCATGTGACATTATATAAAGCATATATACTCATAAATATAATAATGTAGCAAATTGCTGCTAATGTAAATATTAACAACGTGAGAGACAAGTCATAAAATTTAATTTTTGATTTTTTTGGAAAAACGAAAGAAGAGAACAATATGGCGCTTAAGTAGTCTTAGAGTACATTTATCACAATCCCTACAAAAGTTTAAAGAAAAAATTTGGATCAGTTTTGGGGAAAATCTTGTTTATCTAATTTTTTAAACTGCACAAACTGCACGCAAACCACTACAATTTTCAAAAAAATGTACACGACCTTAATGAATGACCAAATTATGGACAACAAATTTTATTTAAAGAAAACATCTATATATTTAATTTTTTTGTTGTATGAAGATCCCGAAAACAATTCATACCTTTGAAACTTTCAAAAATTCGGAGTTAACCGTGAAAATCGGACCTATGACACATTTATAAGTGCATTTTACTCTATTCTTACAAAAAATTTAAAGAAAAAAATTGCAGCCAATTTTGAGAAAATTTCGAAAATGTTCCAGGGGTTTCATATAAATTAACCCCAAAAACTAATGAATGAAAATTGCAGAGCTTTACCTCAGGTCAAATGGAAACTGGTTTCTTCAATTTCGAAAAAAATCCTTCGCATGATTTAGTCGCTAGTGTTGTTCACATACAGGAGACGGACGGGCAAACGGACGGGCAGACGGACGGGCAGACGGACGGGCAGACGGACGGGCCGACGGACGGGCCGACGGACGGGCCGACGGACGGGCCGACGGACGGGCCGACGGACG